TTCTTCTGTTGAAATTCTAGGGTCAGAGGCTACTAACTGACAGTCAGATTCTTCATCTAGGTTGGTGAATTAGCAGCTTGTAGAATCTCACAGCACTAAACAAAAAAACCAAAACGCCCTATGAATATAAGTACCGCAGCTTTCTTTGATATTTGTTCAGAAGGAAAATTCATTTGTATAATCTATCAAGCATGTAACAATGTGCTTTTGATGATGAAAATTGTTTTATAAATATTAATAGGTATGTTTTTTCACCCACTTTGTACACAGAATGGCCTTTGTTCGGGATGAATTTTCAATGGATTTGAGGTTTCATTAATGTGACACTCAAACTCTTATGTCTGAACCAAGATCAGTACCTCCAAACATACATTTTACCATAGTTTGTTGTTTTAATAAATGAAAAAGCTAAGGTTTGAGCAAGCAGGTTTATTTTATTGCCCTACTGTTGACATAGCCATCAATCCATTTTTAACATGCTCATTCTAAAAGTGCACTTGGACAGGTCTTACAGGGGGAAATAAGCATGTCAGAGTCCATCAATATTCAGGGATTAATCCACTCCTTTTGTGCAAGCAGCAAGTTTTTGTTTATTTTTCCTGTTCTGCTTTTTTGTTTTCATGCCAGATGCACTTTTCTAAGTTTCTCTTTCACTGTAGTAAGTATGGTACTTGTGGCTATAGCAACAGAAGTGTGACTTGGTGGTGATTGGCAGCATTTTTCTGTAAAGGGCCATAGAGTGTTGTAAGGAGTTAGCTCTGCTATTGTCTTGGGACAGGAGCCACAGACATATGTAAATGAATGGGTGTGGCTGCATTCCAGTCAAACCCTATTTACAAAAACAGTGAGTTGTCCCAACAACTGTACTTGGCCACCCTCTGACTTAGATTCTCATTTGGGACTATTTTATACCAATCTTTAGCCACACTGGCCTTCCGCAAAGACATGGTGTGATTTGAAGGTCACCAAAGATGGTGCGCCTGGGTGGCTCACTTGGTTAAGTGTCCAGCTTCAGCTCAGGTCGTGATCTCACGGTTCATGGGTTTGAGTCCCATGTCGGGCTCTGTGCTGACTAGCTCAGAGCCTGGATTCTGTTTCAGATTCTGTGTCTCCCTCTCTCTCTCACCCTGCTCTCTCTCTCTCTCTCAGAAATAAATTAAACATTAAAAGAAAGAAATTTTTGAAGGTCACCAAAGGCATCTCTTTCTTTAGACAAAAATCTCCTTTTTCATCAGTTGCAAAGCGTGAAAGGCCAACCATTAAAATCTTTTCTGTGGGAAATAACTTAGGTATTCTGAATATGGCCTTTCATTGAAAATCATAGGTAGATTGTACATCTGTAAACTCCAGTAGGCATTAGTTTCAGTTTATTGTAAATAGAAGTCTAGGGTTATAGGGGAATGGGGCCAAGTTACAGGTCATTTCTAGTGACTGGAAGAGGGGAGAATCTAGCCTGGGCTGCAGCATTGGGAGGCTGAGTGTAAGAAAGAACTGTGTGGGTGGAGTATGGCGGTGGTGATAATAATAACAACCAGTAAGTGCCAGCTGTCTGTGCTACTCAGTGCTTTGCACACAGTCTCTGCTTGCACTAACACCATCCAGGCGAAAATACTCTGGTCCCCATTTTATAGACAAGGCCACTGAGCTTAAGAGCAGTGATGATGGAAGTGTCTGACTAGGAAGTGTCCAGTTGTAATTCATACCTAGGTGTGGGTGATGCCAGAGTATACTAAGTGGTGGAGTTCCAGGAAAAATGTTCAGGTGATAACACCATTATAAACTGGGATAGTAAGACATAAAAGCACTTTGTATGTTTGGGACCACTTTAAGAATATTAAGCAGGTATAATAACTTTGTGTCTCAAAGAGTCTATGTACCACGTTAAAGTCCTTTTTTCTCCCTGTCCTCCACCCACAGAAAACAATTGAGGCTTTAGGGTGACAATTCAGTTTTGGGTCACCCTTCTTAACTCCTGAGTTTCACCTTCCTTCCTTCCCATTTATCTGTTATTTCTAACTTCCTAAAGCACCTGGTTATAACATACATTGACCTAGGTATGTCCTTAGTTTTCTGTACAGGGAGGGGACAAATGGCCTCTCTAGATAGGCCATTTATCCCACAAGGATGATACCTGTATGTACATCTTTATTTCTTCCTGTAGGTACCCCTTTTATCCCACAGTCACCATCTTCAGGCTCTGGTTTAACTCTATAACGTTTCATGGGGTGGTCTCCCAAATAGTGAACTCATTTCTGGACTTGGTGTATAAAACTAGCCCCCCACCCCCCAGGAAAGAGCATTATTTGAAAATCTGGTTTTGCCGAGGTTAGGTGGAACTGCCTTCTGAACTTTGCATATGTATCCATTAATTATGATCCGTGAAATAGCTTGGAACTGTAGTCTTTGTAAGGGGCAAAGATCAGCCTGGACCTATTTTGATTTACTAGTTTATTGATCTGGACCAAGAATTCTTTTATTTGAAACTTCTTCAGTTAGGAAGTTAATTCGATAGCCTTTGTCCATTCATTTTGAAGGTGTCAGTTACAAATAGTCTTGCCAGTGAGTTATGGAGGAGCTAAAATTACTAATAAATTAATTAAAATGTGTTTATAAGCCTAGTGGAAAGCCAAGAATGAAGTTTCCAGTCATTAATTGCTGACAAAATGCCATTGTAGCAAGCAGAGAATGTTGGCCAATTCCTCTGGTAATTGTAGGATTCCATCATTAAGATTGCAGTGTTCTGGACAGTAATTACTCATTTGCTCCATGTATTCACAGTGTGTGGGTAAAGCGGTTGGACATTTTGTGGCAAGACTAAGGATTCTGACAGACATTAACTTCTATAAGATTCTCTCTTGTCACTCAGTGCTACATTAAATAATTTGTGGTTTGAGCTTTTATTTATGCTAAGTATTCTTAGATGTTAATATGCTAGTTCTGCATAGACTTGTATCAAAGTGCTTGGTTTTTGTGGTAAAGAGACCCTTGTACAAAGCCTCTGTGTAGGGTCTGTAACTCTAGGATGTTGTAATGTAACAATATTTTCTTGTTAGCAACTGGGAATAACAGCCTGTGGTCATTGCTTTTGAGTGAAATATCTCAGGGTGGTTGTTCCCCTTTGAAGAGGTAGGTGCCTGTTAGCAATGCTGGGGGAGAATGGGTAATTTCTCTAAAGTCTAGGTCAAAATTCCCTGCCTATCAATGTCTCAAGTAAAGTAAAAGAAGGTTACAATGGAATGTCATCATAGACAACTAATTTCTACCCTAAGAGATAGAATAAGAGGGGTTAGGGGCGCCTGGGTGGCTTAGTCGGTTAAGCGTCCGACTTTCGCTTAGGCCATGATCTCGCGGTTCGTGGGTTTGAGCCCCGCGTCGGGCTCTGTGCTGACTGCCAGCTCAAAGCCTGGAGCCTGTTTCAGTCTATGACTCCCTCTCTCTGACCCTCCCCTGCTCTCTCTCTCTCTCTTTCTCTCTCTCCTAGAAATAAATAAAACATTTAAAAAAAAAAAAAAGAATAAGAGGGGTTAGATTCCAGGAAACCTGCATTTTACCCCTCCCCATTACAGCTTCTCCCTAAATGTTCATATAGAAGATACCTGTAAATCAATGAAAATGCTGTTACCTTGGTCCATCCATATCACCCAGTGAGTTTTAACTGATTCTAACTCTCTTGGCCTTTGAGAGAGTTGGAGGATTTCTACCTGCACCAGAGAGTAGAGACAGTAGTGCTGATAAAGCCTAGTCACCTTCCATTATATCTGATCAGTTTTGGTCTCCTAGTGTTTTCTAACTTGAATCCAAAGAGTCATATCCTGCATATATCAAAATGATGGTCCTGGTTTGAGCAGACCCCAGAATAGGCATATCAGCAGTTTAGGGATTGTTATTTCCATTTTCCAGATAAAAAAAACTGAGGCCCAGAGAGGAAGTAAGTTATTATTATTATTACTATTATTTTATCAAGTTACAGAGTTAGTTAAGAATCAAAAACTGTTGATTCTGGGACACCTGGGTGGCTCAGTTGGTTAAGTGTCCGACTCTTTTAAAAAAAATTTTCTTAGCATTTATTCATTTTTTTGAGAGACAGAGAGAGAGTCAGTGAGGGAGGGGCAGAGAGAGAGACACACACACACAGAATCTGAAGCAGGCTCCAGGCTCTGAGCTGTCAGCACAGAGCCCAGTGCAGGGCTCAAATTCATAAACCATGAGATCATGGCCTGAGTGGAAGTCAGCTGCTTAACCCACTGAGCCATCTAGGCATCCAGGTGTCTGACTCTTGATGTGGGCTCAGGTCATGATCTCCCAGTGCATGAGATTGTGCCGGCAGGCATCAGGCTCCACACAGACAGCAAGGAGCCTGCTTGGGATTCTGTCTCCCTCTTTGTCTACCCCTCCTCTGTTCATGTGTGTACATGTGCTATTTCTCTTTCTAAATAAATAAACATTAACAAAAAACAAACAACAAAAAAAAACCCTGTTGATTCTCACTGAGTGTTCTTTCCAGGAAATCTTTCAGAAATATTAGTGAGGATACGGATTAAATAAAAATTTCATTTTGCAGCATCAGAAGGATGAAGGACAGTGGGATTAAGCGTAATAATCTAGTTTCTTTTGCAAAGAAGGTAAAGGTGATGATTAGTGGTTAAATACTAAAAACGAATGTAATAAAAATGGCAAATGAAATCTGTATGTATCTGTGGCAGTCTATAACTTGTACTGGGTAACCACAGTTTATATTACTATTTTATTAAACCGAGAACAACAGGTATAAATTACTGTGTTCTTTTATAGAATGTAAATCCCTTGAGAACAGGGTCTGTGCTGTAATCCTCTTTGTAGTCCTAAAGTTTAAGATTAAGAAAGCCATAACCACTTGTCCTACCTGTATCGTGAGAAAAAAATGACAGTGTTTTATTTTTGTTTCTCCTGTGCTTGCTAGCTTGGGGAGCTAATTTATGGATTCTTATGGGATATTCGTGTGTGTGCCTTGTTCCCTTTAGTTGTCTGCTTTGATGCAAAGATAAATTTTGATGACAATGCAGAATTTCGACAAAAGGACATATTTGCTATGGATGACAAATCAGAGAACGAGCCCATTGAAAACGAAGCTGCCAAATATGATCTAAAATATATAGGACTGGATGGGAACATTGCCTGCTTTGGTAAGAAAGTAGTTCTGTCAAAAGAATGATTTGTAGATTTTTGCAGAATTTAGGAGTTCCTGATTTCTGAACCTTTCTGAGCTGTTATTTCCTAATGGCCAAAAGTAAGAGGTGCTTTTTTTTGTAGCCCCAAAGTCTTAGGAAACAATTTGGAGTTTATTCCCAAAGTGCATTTTGCTCAGTGGTCCTGTTTCAAAATAGGGTTTCTCAAATCTGGCACATTTTGACATTCTGGGAAGGGGGGAATGGGGCTGTACATTATCAAATATTTAGCATTGTCCCCTGGACTTTTGGTGCCACTGACAAGCAAAAATGTTGTGACAGCCAAAAATGTCTCCCAACACTGCCAGATATCTTCTGGTCAACAAAATCACCGCAGTTGAGAAATGCTGTGTTAAAGCATCTCAGTTAAATTTTGCATCATAAAAATGGGAATCTTTACTACTCCAGCCAGTGTTAATATGCTAGGAACTATTCTTGGAATTTGGGTTTAAAATAAAATTTCTCAGAGGAAATGGAAGAGAACATACACTTGAGTCATTATACTCCAGTTTCAGCTTTTATGATCACCAAATGATAAAATGTTTAATCCATTATCCAGTTTATTAATAAAACAATTGATTTTATCATACTCATCTACATTTGTGAAAATGGCTTATTCAGCTGAGATAAGAATGGGTCTATAGAGGCAATACAATTTCTGTTATTGTCCACAGCTTATAGAACTGAGATTTATACGCATCTGTGTTTCTGGTGGAATCAATTCATTGCACTGGAAACTGAGGTCTTAATCTTAATGGAATTAAAATAAAAAAGATTTGTAGCTCATTAAACCAACAGTGTTATTATATTCAGAACTGAACAGACCTCATCCAGCAGTCTGCTGTGCAATACAATAGAAAACGACATCTAATTACAAGTGGTACCAAAAGCACTTGCTTTGTATTGGAGTAATAACTGTAATGTACCAGATCACGCGCATTGTTCTGATCTTGATAAGCTAATGCGCTCTCAATATTTGTAGGCATTTAGAAAGGAGAATGATATAATGGTGTATTTAGAACAAATTAAATACAGATTCTTTGTAGCCTCTGTGGGAGTATGCACAATCTGACCAAGTTAGCAGCCTCAAAAAACTACGATTAACACATTTCAAATTGTTTTAAGATACTATATAAACCATTTTTATTGTAGTTGCCCCAGACTTAATTAAATTAGTCACAGTTCAGAGGCTTGTCTAGGGAATTCAAGGGTCAGAAAAAGTGAAGTATAATTTTACCGTGCGAGTTTCTGCTGTGTTCTGGAGGTTTTCTTTTCCCCCCCAGCTTTCTAAAATGAGGAAAGTAATCTCATATAATTAAAGATTAAGAAGCAAATAAGTACAATTGGTTATAAAACTCAGTTCTGGAAAATAAAAATTGCTGTGTTAAAACTTGTTTTCTTTAAGAAACCTCCTAAGATGTTAACACATTTTGGTTCTAGTTTTAACGATCAGGTTGCTAGTGAACACTTCTCATATTAATTTAAGAGAAGGAACTAAGGGATGGGAATATTATTTTGATGCTGTCATTTGTTCATTTGTTTTGTGAGTTTATCCACATAACCTATAAACATGCATGGTTGCACTGAGTGTAAAAAGCATGGAGTCCTATTGAAGTTGGGACCCCTGTGGTTCAACCCCAGAGGGATGCCACATTCAAAGGACCATATTCTCAGCAGCAAAAAAAAATAAACAAATTGCATTTTTTTACTCAGATCTCTTAAAGGATATTAAAGAGAATGCAATTCATAGACCCAAGCAACTTCTTGTAGCCTTTCTTCCCTCTTTCCCGGTTCATTTGAGTTCTTTATTTTTCCAGAACCAAACAGTCCTTTCTTCTTCTACTAGCTCAAATTAATTAATTATGCAAACTCTTCCCTTTTATCTGTTTCCCAGATTGGCTTAACTTATTAATCCATCTTCATATCTACAGGTCTTTTTTCTTTTCTTTTTCGTTTGTACACTTCCTGACTCTTTATCCTAAAAGTCTATGAATTTATGTGATTGAGCAGGATTCTAGGCAGGACAGATTGGCCTGGGAGTGACAGGGCTCTCTCTATGGCAGCGTGAGAGAGGGACACTGTTCATGCACCCTTTCATGTTGCTAAATTTATCCTGCCATGTGAGCCCTCTTCATTTCACAGTGAATGGTGCTGGACTTGCCATGGCTACTTGCGACATCATCTTCTTGAATGGTGGGAAGCCGGCCAACTTTTTGGATCTTGGTGGTGGTGTAAAGGAAGCTCAAGTATATCAAGCCTTCAAACTGCTCACAGCTGATCCTAAGGTAACCTGTCTTTGTAGCAAGATCATGTAATGTTCTGATTTTTCACCAACAAGAACTGCTCTTCCTACTGCTGAAGGATAATAAGCCAAACATTTACTTTGCAGTCCCAGATGCAAATCCTGCCTTATATCTGATTGTAGTACACCATGATTCAACTCATTTCAGGTGAAAGGCTAGTAAGTGGTCCCAGGATCTAATTTCAGATTCTGTGCTTCCAAAGTGCTGGGAGATAGGAGGAAATAAAAAGGGGGTAGTGCACAAGATAGTGAAACACTGGTTGGTGTGAAACGTTGAGTAGTTTATACTGAAGCAATTAGTCCTGTTCTTAACATGACTTAAAGGACTCATTCTCAGATTCCTTCCATAAAGATGCTGCAAGTATTATCATATGATCAGAGACAGAAGAAAATTATAGGATTATAAAAGTGTATATCACTAGAAAATAATGACTACATTCTTCTGTATGCATTTTAATTTTCATCGCTGACAGTTACATAGTTTATAACATGCGTGCTAGGTAGCATATAATGTTGCTTCATGAACCTCTTTTCTTAACTAGAGTATAGCTATCACACCAGTGCTAGTGCATAGTAGGTATTCAGTAAACATATTTCAAGTTAAATACCAATAGGCTTTCTTTCAACTGTAGGTACTCAGTAGTCTATGACAACAAGGTTTAGGTGGACATTTTTTACATGGAAAAGACTAACATGTTTTGAACGTCTGATACATACCATTTAATTCTCTTAACAATTCTGACTTTAAACTTTGAGAATCATTTATCTTGATACTGTTAGAGTATCCGATACATTCTATTGGTTCTTTTGTTTTAATGTTTATTAATTTTGAGAGAGAGAGAGAGAGCAGGGGAAAGGCAGAGAGAGAAGGAAAGAGAGGGAGAATCCTAAGCAGGCTCTTCCTGGTCAGTGCACAAAGCCCAATGCGGGGCTCAAACATACAAACCATGAGATTGGGACCAGAGGCGAAATCAAGAGTCAGATGCTCAACCAACTGAGCCACCCAGGTGCCCCCATATTGTTTTTTAAGAAATGTGGTATGAACTTAATATGGAAACTTCTCAGTAAGTGTACCAATAATAGCTTTTTGGTTCACACATATAAAATTTTGTCTTCTATTTTCATTATGACTCAGATAGTTGCTAACCTTATGTTTTTGCTAAGTCTTACCCTTCTGATTCATGAAATAAATGGTAAGGTATTATTGGCTACTTATTTTCAGTTTTCCTGTGCTGTCCAGGAGTAGTAAAGTCATCAAAATCCAAAATCACCCAGCCATGAAGAATGTGTTTGCAGTTGATTTTTCTGTTTATATAAGTACCTTGTTTTCATTGGTTAAGTAGGAATATTGTCAATGGCTTCCTAGTTATTAATTTATTTATCCCTTCTTCTTATTGTCTAAGGGAAGCATCATTTTCCTTCCAGAGATTTTCTTATCAGTTGAAATCTGTAAATGTCATGGATATAACTCATACACAGCTTTTTAAACTGCTTGAACCACAGTGTATTCAGAGAACAGGGCAACTGTAATAAAATAGAACTTTTAGTGTCTACTGAAATTCAGTGCTAAGAATAATAGAGAGCTATTGAGGGAGTAAATCTACCAGGACAATCATTGCATTTTCTTTGGAATATCTTTTCTTAGTAGCTGATCTGGAATTTTAATTTTATGACAGTGCAAGAGGGGAAGGAAAAATCACTTGCAGATCCATTTTTTAAAACAGTTTCTTAAAAAATTTTTTGAGTTTGCCCTATGTAATATTTTCAAATGCTTGGAGTATTTAAACTTTTTTGAGATTGCCTGTCATCTTGGGTAGAGAAAGATATGTGGGAGTTATTTTATTTTTCTCATGCTATATCAGGAAAATGAATGCACAGCCCATCTCACTGTAAATTTTCCAAATCTTGAAATTTCAAAGACAGTTAAAAAGCATAGAAGTGTAATGGATATTTTCAATCCTGGCATTGTTTCCCAGATTTTAGAGAACAGAGGCTAAAAAATAGTACAGATGAATTGATTTGATTTTGCAAGGAACCTGATTACAGTTCTGGCTGTAATTATTTCAAGTAGAACCCCATTCATCTGCCCAGAAGGAAAGAATCCCAAAAACCCAAAGCTAATTATTACAAAGGTATTGATTTTCTTGTTAGATGTAAGGATTAGTCAGTTGAATATACTGAGACTCAAAATTGAAAAAGGCCTGTTATTGTTAAACTTGAATCAACTGATAGTAACAACTACTTGTTTGTCCTATGTATAAGCTAATTCTGTTGATCAAGTAATAAATGTTATCATTCAAAAACAATATTATAGGTTGGCATATATTTCTACACATAATGTCAGCCATAGAGCTGAAAGTTAAGTTTATTTTGCTTGACTATTAGCCCTAATGCTGATATTCATTGGGACTCAACACCATTGCCTTTATAACTAATGTGTTCTTTATTTGTTTGTAATATATATGAAACAGAGCTCCTTTGCCAAAACTGTCTAAAACAAGAGTCTTTTCAAGATAGCTTACAACACTGAATTCATATTAAATATCTTATATTTCTCTAATTTTCTAGTTGAGCTTGAGATGAGAGAAGGACAGTATAGTTTGTTCTGCTGGTGGTATGAACTGATTATCATTTTTTTAAATGTTTATTTTTGAGTGAGAGAGAGAGAGCATGAGCAGGGGAGGGGTGGAGAGAGAGAGATACACAGAGTCCAAAGCAGGCTCCAGGCTCTGAGCTCTCCGCACAGAGCCTGACGTGGGGCTGGAACCCATGAGCCTTTGAGCTGTGAGATCATGATCTGAGCTGAAGTTGGCTGCCCAGCCAACTGAGCCACCCAAGTGGCCCAGGTCATCATTTTTAACATCAAGTATTGTAAGCACTAGGATGCTTAAATCCTAAGTAGTAAAGATCACATTATATAGGAAGTAGAAGTAAGAGTTTGTGGTAATTTATAAAAAATTTGAACAGACTTAAGGGAAAACTCCTCTAAAGATTGTGTTATCCTTAAGTTTTTGTTTTCTTGAATCATACTTTGGCTTTTACTTCTAATTCTAAACTTAGAACTACAAAGGTGTAGAAAATGAATACAAACAACATCTGGAGTATGTAAAACATCTTGCATCAGTAAATAAAAGGAAAAGACAGTTGACAGGAATCTCAACTGTCACCCCAACTCTTTTGGCCAAAGTTAAGCCAGTCTGTTGCCCTCTGCAGGCCTGATTTTGAAACGCAGTATTGTGTGATTGACATTGCTGAAGGCTCCTCACTGGCTCTGTCCCTGTGCTTCCTGGGTTACATCCAGCTTAGTCATGTTTTCAAAGCTCTTGTTTTTTTAATTTTTATTTCTTTAAATATTTTTTTTTATTTTAGTATAGTATAATTAACATAGTGTTTTTCAAAATTCTTTAAAAATCCAGGAACGGGGAGCCCAGGTGGCTCATTTGGTTAAGTAGCTGACTCTTGATTTCCGCTCAGGTCATTATCTAGCATCTGTGTGGATCCTGTTTGGGGTTATCTCGCTCCCTCTTTCTGTGCCCCTCTCCTGCTCACCTGTGCATATGCGCATGCTCTCTATCCCTCCCTCTCTCTCCTTGAAAATAAATACATAACTGAACACTTTTTAAAAATCCAGGAAAAAATGTGCTACATAAGCACCAAGTACCAGTTCAAATAGGAAGGGAAGGATACTTAGTAGGGTTTTTGTACCAGATTGCCCAGGTTCCCACCCCATGTCCTATCTTTACCACTTACTGGTTGTGGGAACTTGAGCACATTATTTAACTTCTGTATATCTCAGTTTCTTCTTTTATGAAATGCAGTTATAATAGTACTTATTACCTCTGAAGGTTGCTTGCTTGCTTTATTTATTTAAGTATTTAGAGCTTACATTTCTTTAAATTTTTTTAATTGAGGTATAACTGACATGTAACATCTAAGTTTAAGATATATGATGTGTTTATGTGATATATCTACATGCTGCAGTATGATTACTGCTGTAGCATTAGCAAACACCTCCATCATGTTTCATAACTGTAATTTCTTTTTTGTAGTAAGAACATATAATCAGAGAATTGCTTATTACATTAATTGAGATTACACATAAAGATTTCCCATTTAGAGGAGGAATAATTTCATATGATAGTGTCACTTAAAATTTTTAATAAATTTTTGTTGAAGTTAACCTACATATAGAACAGTATACAAATCATAAGGATGTAGTTTGATGAGTTACCATGAAGTAAACATACAGGCAGCCAGATCATAAAATAGAACATGACCAGTGTTGGAGACTGAATGTTTTATGTCCCCCCCAAAATTCTTATGTTGAAATCCTAACCCCCAATATGATGATATTAGGAGTTGGGGCCTTTGGGAGATAATTAGGTCATGAGGTCATGAGGGTGGAGTCTCATGAATGGGATTAGTACCTTTATAAAGGAGACCCCAGAAAGCTCCCTCATCCCTTCCTCCATAGGAGGATAGATCTAGAAGATGGCCATTTCTGTACCAGGAAGGGGGCCGTCATGAGACCCTGAAACTGCCAGTGCCTTCATCTCGGACTTCAGCCTCTAGAATTGTGAAAAATAAATGTTGTTGCCTCAGTCAGTCTATGGTAATTTGTTATAGCAGGCCGAACAGACTCAGCCACCATCTCAGAAGCCAGTGATGCAGCCCCATGCCACACTTCCCCCCGAAAGGTGTCACAGCTTTCCCAACTTCTAATGTCATAGGTTTGTTTTCCCTTAATGTAGATTCCTGCTTAATATAAATAGGATCATACAGTATACACTGTTGTATGTTTGCCATCTTTCACTTAACTTTTATTTGTAAGATTGTCCCACATTTTATGTAGCAGTGGCATATTTCTAAAGCACAATGAAAACTCTCATTTGTGTTGTTTATAAAATTTTTTTAATGTTTATTTATTTATTAGAGAGAAAGAGAGAGAGAAAGACAGAACAAGTGGATGAGGGGCAGAGAGAGCAGGAGACACAGAGTCCAAAACAGGCACCAGGCTCTGAGCTGTCAACACAGAGCCTGTGTGTTGAATTTTTTTTGATGTTCAATTCCATTATCATTTCTAAGGCTTAGATTTATAATTATTGTTACAAGAGGATATAAATGTTCCTTTTTGGGATGGAAGGTATCTGAAACAGATCCATTGACACCAGTGTTACTGCATGTGTTGTTTTGAAGTTGATGAAATGGGTAACAATTCAGTAGTTTTGCAGTGATTCTCTGTTCAGACAACCAAGAAAACACAGCTTAATTGAGGGAGGATTAAATTCATGTCTGCAAGAACCACAGAATATCATTTGGTGTAAGTTTGAGAAGAGTCCAGCTATTTGAACTCTGTGGTATGTGATCCAAAAGTCTTTAGAATTTGAAGCTAGGAAAGTGAAAGTGTGTGCCATATTTTCATTATCATCTGCCTTTCAGCTTGCAAATGTCTTCACTTTTAATAAATTTATGTTGGTGTTAATATGTGCTAAATGCCTCACATACATAGTGTTGATCATTATACATTTAGAATATATTTAAAAACAAACCACAGTATCCTCTTCTTCACTTATTTACATGTTTGTATCAGAAGCATGAAGAAAAACTCTTTTATTACAGACTACTTGTATTTGCTGAATTACCTTATCTGCAGGGGAATATGTTGGGGGGGGTAGTAGAACTCTCATAGAGATTGATTTTTAAATATAATACCCAGTACTTGACACAACATGAGCATTATTTTTGTTTTTTGTTTTTTTTTTTAATATTTTTATTTATTTCTAGGAGAGAGAGACAGTATGAACAGGGGAGGGTCAGAGAGAGAAGGAGATACAGACTCTGAAACAGGCTTCAGGCTCTGAGCTGGCAGTCAGCACAGAGCCCGACGCGGGGCTTGAACCCACGAACCGCGAGATCATGACCTAAGCGAAAGTCGGACGCTTAACCGACTAAGCCACCCAGGCGCCCCATCATGAGCATTATTTTTGAAATAACTCCCCCATCCCTGTTCTTACAGGCCTCTTTGAAACAAATTTTAAAAGTTGGAAAGAGTTAAGTCCAGGCAGCTGTTCTTTATGGTGAAAGGCTGCCTGAGAGCCTAGTTGGAGAAGGATAAAATGATGCTGTGCTTATGAATTTGTAGCCTGTCACCTGGTTTCAGCCCTGTGCAGGGCAGCACTGTGTATCAGCTGGAGAATGGAAAGCTCGCTGCCTCGCTCTCATGTCTCTTTCCTCCAGGTGCTTTTCCTCTTGTCTTGCATTTGTTTCTATCATGTCCCGTTGAACCAGATTTCCAGATATGTCTCGCTGTCCTTGTCCACCATGCTCTTGTTCCATTTTATCTGCCAGCATTGCCCAGAAAGAGCTGGGTCCTGGCAAGGTCATCGGTTCTGTATCTTACACAAGACCAGTGTGTCTGATTGCTACACATTTTCCACGCGTCTCTAATGGAACTCCTTAAATCTGTTTCATGCTGCTTGCTGACATACTCTACAAAATAAATCAAAAGAAAGGTAATTCTTTGCTTCTCAAAATTCAAATCTGGATGTGCTTTGTTTTGTTTCATGGTAAGTAATTTGAAGAATTTTAACAGACTTGGGGATATTTTAGTAAATTTTATCATTGGTCCCAACATGCTCACTCATTGATTATGAATCCTGTATGGAGAAGCCTTTGGAGACTGTTAAAGAGAAATGAACCACTAATAAAGGCATAATGTCGCCTAGATTAGAAATAATATATAATTATTAGAAGAGTTAGGGATTTTTTTTCTCTTAATGTTACTGCACTGTGAAAAGACATGGTTCACTTCCAACAATTAGAAAATACTGCATTTTCTGATAATGCCAGAATTAGTGTCAGGTATCTCTGAGTCTTAAGAATTATCCTATAATGCTAGAGTGATCAAGCATCTGAAAGTTTTACTATTATTATTTTTGAGGTATTGTTTTGGAATCCAAATAATGTATGTTGGGAGAATCACTAGGTGTAGGGAGTAAACTTGGGAAAATAATTCAGGAGAACAAGGTAAAGAGCCTTTGAAGTGGGAAGGGTTCTGGGTTCTCTCCTTTGCAGGGGTGAGCTGTAGTCTGGTGGGATGAGCCTCACTGCCTTCAGGAGATTGAAGACACTGTGAATTCTCTCTTTTCCTCCCTCTATTCCGCTTTCCACTCACTGTCAGAGAACTAGGAATTAAGATGATTGTCTTGTTCCTAAATGAACAACATGTTCATGTGGGCTTGCCGAAGAAATTGGCCTGACTCATAGTGTCTTGCAGGATAGTGTTTTATCTTTTTTTAGGGTGTTTTATTAAGCAGCATCCCCTTTTTCCTAATTATTAAATTAGAGAAACATAAAATATAGAAAAGTACAAAAATAGGTCAGCTTACATTTATGTATACTTTTACATATACTTGAAGTGACTGTGCAGTGTAGTATTATTTTTGACAAAACTAGTATCAGTATGATTGACACTCTTATATGGTCTGCTTTTTTCCACTCTTTACTTACCTTTTCCCCTGTCCTTGTACAGCACTCTACAACACCTTTAGGAGCTGAATAGTATTCACTTATATGAATATATAAATTTACTTTACCAGTCCTCTGTTATTTGATATTGAGGGTGTGGTGTTTTCTAATTTAAAATAATGCTGCCATAACCTCTTTGCGTACACTTCAGATTATTCATATAAGATGTATGCCTTAGGGGTGTTTGGGTGGTTCAGTTGGTTGAGTGTCCAACTCTTGATTTCAGCTCAGGTCATGATTCCAGGATCCTGGGATCAAGCCCCATATCGGGGCCGCATGCTACACCCTGTTTGGAGCCTGCTTAAGATTCTCTCTCCCTTTCCCTCTGCCCCTCTTCCCTGCTCACCTATGCATATTCTCTCTCTCTCTCTCTCTCAAAATAAATAAAATAAGATGAATTCCTAGAAGTATGAGTGTAACTGTGAATGCAGATTTTAAGGTTTTCACACTTCCTGCCTATTTATATCACAACACCATGTAGAAGGATGTAGAATGCTGTCATCAACAAGAGGTGTGTGTACTTGGCTCTTTAAGTGGCCCCATGTGTAGTGCCAAAGTGCTGCCTGGTTTTCATAAGTCATGTCTAGTATGATGGATCTTACAGAGAAATTATATATTAGAGAAGCTTTGTTCAAGTGTGAGTTATAAATTCAATACGAATGAATTAACAGTATATATTAAGTAAGGTATCCTCAAACAGAAACAGAGAAAACAAGGTTATATATTGGTGTTTTGACAAAAACGGTGTGACCAGTGGCTTACAGGAAACCAGCCCTTAGTTTCCTCAGGAGCCATGGTTTGGTATTTGCTAACTCAGTGTTCAGTGGAAGTTTATAGACTGTGACTACTATGGATAATGAGAATTGCCTGAATAATGTTTTGGATAATTATGGATGGCTCTTCAGAGATTATGTGAAAGAGTTGCTCCATTTTATCTTTCTAAGAAAGGACAGTCAAGAACCAGTAGCCTGAATGTAAAGTAAAATATTCTTTTCTTTTCCTAATTTGCTTTTGTATGCTTGCCAAAGGGAAGGATTCTGACTATGAAAACCTTCAAAATATGTCGGTATGACATTTTAGACATATTGCCTTTATATTTAAGGATTAAATGAAAAAACCTTGAGAAAATTTCAACCTAATTTTTCCACTTTCCAGGTAAGAATGATTTCCTTATACATGTAAGTCCTTCGCTTTATGCTTTTTGAAAAGTTTCTTTACATATAAAAAATTGTCCCCTTTTAGAAATTTACATTTCCTTCTAAAAGTATGAGATTAAAAAAAAAATTGTCCCCAACTTTATTACCATAACATGGCCACTGTTATAATTTTGTTAAATTTCCTTCCAGCATTATCTATACGTATCTTCTTTATACAATTATAATTAGAATACCCACCCTTCCTTTTAATGGCTTTTAAAAATATATATATCCAGTATTACATGATATACATCTTCCAGTTTGTTTATGGGTCTCTCTGAGCATCAGTTTTACTAGCATATTAATAGTGGGCAGTGTGTTAAAGTCCTCTTGTTATTGAGGAGGTTATTTAAAGCTCAGCATTTAAAATCTCTTTCAGAAAATGTGTGAACTTTGTAAATCTGGTTTGCTAAAGCAGAGTACAGTATAGTTAACAAATGCAGTAGTAACAAGTGTGAAAAACATTGTGGTACAAAACAGACTTGTAGAACAATTTAAAAAAAAGAAAGAAAGAAAAGAAAATCAGCATTCTCTAATGCCCAGCTAGATACCCCTTTAACATCTTAAGCATTTACTGCCTCAGTGGACTACTGATCTGCCTTTGTTTTAATTATTACAGGGTTAATGAATCATTCTTTAATATTTGATACAGTCATTCTTAACTGCCTAAATTCTGAAATTCATAAGAATTCCAGACGTGGCCAAATGTCCCTTCCTGACTGCTCAGATACTTGAAGATCTTCCTGGTATCCTCCTAATGTATGAGATGGAGTCCAAAACAAAACTTGCCAGAAGTTAGGAGAATAAACTCACCTTTATTTTTCCTTGCTCTTTCTTGCCAGCATTCTTCCTAAGAGTTCATTGATTTCTCTATGCTTCTTCTGTCTTTGTAAAGAGCAAGACACTCTAGGCAAACTTGTAAATTATGTGTCTTTTTAATCTCTAGCCCTCATCAGATGCCACCTGAATGATAATACGTGATGATATGTCCCAGTCTCCCTTTTCTTTTCTATTGGGTATTTACAATTTACAGTCCCCACCACTTAATCATCTCCTTTGTTCATACATTTCTCTTTTTAAATCCTGTAAATTTGCCTAGAAATATTCTTTTCCCCCCTCCCCCTTCTTGCTGCTGTTTCATTAAACTTTTCATTTGTTCCATATTCTTTAAAAACAATTCAAAGCATAGTTTTGCCTTGAGTTCTTTTTTTCCCAGTCCCTGGTTTTGTGCTGTTCCATTATTATTAATACACTTCATTATTTCTAGCCACTTTAATGGTTCAGGGACCATAGTAGGTTCACCAAACATGTCTTTTCAGAGTAAATTCATATTGACAGTCTGTCTCTATTTCCATGGAAATCATATGGCTCAGTGTTCTCAGCCAGGAAGAGACGCATAGTAAATTAATGAGCTGTCCTTGGGAGACCATTTCCCAGCGTAGGTGCCAGTGCTCTGTGTCTGGCAAGACTCTAGTGGGATGGGGCAGCCTGCTAGGGACCATCGTCTAGACTGGACTGGCCCCTCAGGGCCCTGGAAACAGTGGAGGGAAGGTCCTCTCTGCACAGGGTGGGGTGAGGTCCTGTCCAGCAGCCAGACTCAGCAGCAGCAGGTAATAGCAATACAGGGAGAACTGTGAGTGGCAGGGACTCTTACCTGAAAGCAGTGTATTAGTAGAAGCTAGAAAGTATACAAACAAAGGGAGGCAATTTTAAGAAGTATTTAGGGAATTTTGTTAACCGGCAGCCAGTGCCACAGTCCCCAGGCTATAGTGCAGGGGCCACGCTGACTTCATACAAAGCATCCCATATGTAGAAGCTTGGTTCTAGGGAGACTGCAGGGCCAGGCAAGTAAGTAAGGCAAGAATTCATCCATAGTAGAAGTCACTGTGTCAGCCATGAGGTTAATAGACTCATCCATAGCAAGAACAACTTTATGGAAGCGGGGGTTCCTCCTAGCTTGTTGGGGGCAGCTCCTCAAAGACCACTTTATGAGGTCAGGACTAGTTATCCAGACCACAGAATGACTAAGATGGACGGAAACCCATTCAGTGGTATCAGCCAAATGATTGTGCATGGTGTTATATATGCCAGGCATTCCTGTGGACACTGAGTTATAGTGCAGTGAGTGAAATAGAGTCTTGTTCTCTTGGAGCTACCATTTCAGAGTGGGAAGATAGTTAAATCAATGAGTAAATAGATACACATCATATAAAACAGATAACTTATATACTGTGTGGTGGTAGGAGGTTAAAAATAAAATTGAGGATGCCAGAAATTTGTTATTTTTTATAAGTTTGTCCAGGAAGACCTCTGATAAGTTTACTTTGGAGAAAGACATGTCCTGACTGTTAGATGTGGAGTTTGGGTTTGTAGGCAATGACATGAATGCTCCCAGTGAGGGGAATCTCACCAATAACTGCACCCATTGGAGGTGCCCTTCTTTCCTTCGTGTTTACTCACTGCTTCTTTACCTAAGTGTTCTAAACCATCTCACTTGCTTTATTATCAACCTAAAAAAAAAGAGGTTGGTGCACTTGAATAGTTTATGCTGCAACTTTGCTCTGATTTGGGTGGCACTGTCTTGCAATTAGAGGTCCTTTGGAATATCGATGGATATTTTATCTGCAGCCCCAGGACCCTCTCCTGGGATGCTCTGCTTCCACCTTTGAGGTCTTATGAAATGGAGCACTTTGAACACACATAGTAGTTAACATTCCCAAGGGG